GACCGTACCGAGACAAGTACAAAGACCGGGGAACTACGAGTCCGGGGACGCCGCGGTAGAGGTGGAGACCGAACTGGAGCAGGCCGGAAACGCCGAGAGGGCGTCGAGGGGACACAAGGTGGTGCTTCCAATGACCGCGTGGCATCCACGACGACAAGGCACGCCGGCGGAAACGAAACATCCCCGGAAAGGTCACGGAAACGTAAGCAGGATGCAAGACGCGGCGTTAGTCCTGCGAAGACACGTGTTCGACGTGACGCACGGAGGAGTGCTCCTCGCAGCACTTGGGAGTTCGGGTTGCAGGCTGCAAGAAACAGGACGAGAGACAGCGGTAGCCAGGAGGGTAACCGAGCGAACGTTCGATTACGCCCGCTGCCTGAGTGTGAACTGTCGAAGATGAAGGAATATGTGACGATTCGCAAGGCTCCTTTCAACCGGGTAGGCGTGACTTGGAAGGCTAAAACGAAAGACGGCCACAAGAGGATCAAAATCGGCAGCGGAGTTACTTGCCGGGACAGTACGGCCGTGTACGAAACTCTATGGGCAATGTACAGGTACGCCTGGCCTGGTGTAGTTGGTTGAGAAGGCCCTACGCCGAGGTTACTGTTGACTGTTCCGAAAGTGTTTGCGTATTGCCGGTTGCGCTAAGCGTGGCATAAACTGGCCTGGTGTTCTTGGTCAATAACAACTGCGCCTGGGTTCGCATTGGTGGTATATGTTAACCGGAAAGGTTCTGGCCGGTTCTCTTCAGCGTGGGAGAATTTCTCATGAGAAAGACGAATCAGCACGACGTGTGGGTCTACGCAGGAAATTCATAACCGTGGAGAAAATAAGAAAACTTGGCAGCGTAGTCAATACAAGCCCAAACGGAGGCCGCGAAATGGTCCAAGTGTGGGGGAAGCAATGGGCGTGAGGCAGCGGTGCTCAACTGCTTATTTCTCGAGCCCCTCTGCATGAAAAGTGGTTCCGTCTTTTTTGTCGTGCTCGGAGCGCACGTGTGGGTGAGTGTTTGAAAAATCGCAACAAGCAAATTCTTTATAGTGGAGAAAATTTGTCAATACAAGCCCAAACGGAGGCCGCGAAATGGTCCAAGTGTGGGGGAAGCAATGGGCGTGAGGCAGCGGTGCTCAACTGCTTATTTCTCGAGCCCCTCTGCATGAAAAGTGGTTCCGTCTTTCTTGTCGTGCTCGGAGCGCACGTGTGGGTGAGTGTTTGAAAAATCGCAACAAGCAAATTCTTTATAGTGGAGAAAATTTGTCAATACAACCCTAAAAGTCGGCCGCTTGAGAAGACACGTGAGTACAATGGTGTCCAGCTCTCGTCCTCTAGACCATCGATTCATGTGTTCATGTTTTGTCTTCTTGGGTGTCTTCTCCATCAACGACTCTTATCCTAACTTAGCGTGGGTTGGCAGTGGCCGCGCTCAGCCGACAGGGGGGCACATCGCTGTGCGCGCAAAGTTGTGGACTCGACGTTTCTTTCGGTCTATCTTTTCATTCGAATATAGAGGGCTTGTTCCTCCGTCCCAAAAAAGACTTTTTCAACACATCGAGTTCACAGCGGCGCGCCTCCCTGCCTGTTGAGTGAGTCCACTGCTGGACCACGCACACCCGGATGAGAGCCGTAGATGGAGAAGACACCCAAGCAAACAAAACATGAATCATGGGTCTAGAGCACAAGAGCTGGATAGTTTAGTACTCACCTCTGCCCTCAAGCAGCCGACTTTTTTTTCGCCGTTCGGAGACACAAACCACGCTTTCGCCGTGCCCTCCACACCACCCCTCCCTGTCTGTTAGTTTTTTTGTGAACACTTGACGAGCTCCCGCCATGTATCAGCCGGCAAAACATTGACACGGTGACTCTCGGGTTGTCCGGATCCCTCTATGCGCTCGCTACGTTGAGAGTGCGCTACGCAGTGGTTGGTGTTTAGGACGGAAGGGGCGGTCGTCTACTAATCCCGCCGCTCTTGAAAATCATTTGCGCGACCTGCCCCATTTCAAAATGTTTGAGAATTTTCTGCCGAAGATTTTCTCCCATCAATAGTGAACAGTGAAACAAAATCTTTGTCCGGAAATGTTTGAAAGTGAAAACATTTTCGCAAAGATTTGGCGACCATAAACATGGGTCAAAGGCTTTAGAACATACCTCTCAAGGAGAATTCGGCATCGACGACCACCAGAAGAGCGGACGCCAGAAGGGCTGCTGCAAGGGTCAGTGTCAACTCCATGAGAGGCAGGTAGATCTGCGCATAAACTGGTGCGCATGGAGTGTGTGTGCGTGTGGCGCCGTGACTGTTTCGCGGTTTTGCCCGTGTGCTTGTGGGAGAAGCTGAAGTTCGGACAACACGAAGGATGTCTTGACGTCGTCGTTCGACCGTGCACGTAAACAGAGGGCGACTTGTCGGCACATACATGTGGTAGGTAACGTGATATGTCATGTATTTGTTCTACGCATTCACACACTTGATTTAGCACATTATCGATTGCGTGTTCAAGTCTCCACCGTCAACTAGTAGTCCTACGTTTACTCCATAAAATAGATGGGTCACACTCTGGCCGCCCGCCTCTTGGTGGGTGGGGGTCAATCGTTGCCCAGGGCTGAAATAGGACAACATCCTTTTGCAAAACATAGAAGAATCGGCAAGGCTTAATCGATGCCCAGGGCTGAAAAAGGCCAACTTCTGCCAAACTTAAAATCGGCATGGGGCTTACAGAGACAACCGTGTACCAAGAAAAGCCTCAGTTCCAGTCGCCTTAAAAGCTTTGCACCGCACGTACCCGATTTTGACTTAACGTGAAGTATCGCAACAAAAGATGGTGGCATTTCAACACAAAAAACTGTTAGAACGACTTCTCAGAAAACCATCCTGGAGCCACAAGCAACTTGCCGGCAAAAATGCGAAGAGCCACGAATTGTGGCAATTCACCGCTCTCACAAAGCTACACCACACGATGAGTGGGCTCTGCGTCCTCACTATTTTAATTAAAGCGGCCCTTGGTATTACGCCCAAGAACGGGTCGTTCTCAAGGGAACCCAGCAAAAAAAACAGAATCGAATATTACAACAAAATGTGAGATTGGATAGGGCACAATCCCCAAGACTTCGGCCGACGGATGACCTAGGCGTGGACGTGGGCTGCGGTGAACTTGGTTTCCACAGGGCCCTCGACGAGGTCTGCGCGCGTTGAAATCGGCATATTGTCCACATCCGGGGATAATAAACAGTTCGGGAAAGGGGTCAACGGTGTCAAGATGTCGTGAGTGGTTCAACCTAGACAGGAAAATTTAACATTTTACCTTCGCTTGAAATGTTTGTAGCATGCTTCTGCGGGAAGGGTTTCACACAAGACATATATCCTTTCACGTGGACTTGAAACGAGCAAGCCTGCAGTGTGCTGTTTTTCAGACCACAAGTGTTCGTCAACGCCGTGTTCTCGTCGTACTCTGCTTTCGTTATCGATGGTTACGATGAGTCTGCCCAGCGCCAGTCTATACTCACAGTCGTCTTCCAGCCCACGGATAGCGGACATGCCCTGCATGATGGGATTGCCGTCCACGTCAAGAGTAGGAACTTGGGTCTCGCCGAGGATACCCGTGGCTTGAGGAGAAATGTCAACGTGGTCAAAGGCGAGGTTCATCTGCCAGGTTAGGTGATCCGGAAGATCGAACCGATCCGTCGGGTCACGCATGGCAAGCTGGTGGAGGCGGCCGTGGCTGAGGCGCAGCTTGCCCTTAGGGGTCATGATTTGGAACGACACGTGTTCCGAATCATGCTCGAACAAACCAGTCGGGTCGTCTTCCGTCGCTTTCATCACGTACTCCGTGCACTCGGCCATGTTAGTCGCTGTAGGGTCACCAAGAATCCAGTCGGACATCTGCTGCATCTTCGTGCGAGAGGAAAGAAGACGGCCTGCACGAGCGTATTCTTCTTTCTTGCGCTCCCAGTACTTCTCGAACCCGAAAGACCTGAAAGATTGACGGACGCGTCGTGGAGGTTAAGAAACTCTTAGTTCCCTTGATAACAACAACTAAATACTGTAGGTGCTTCTATTGGCCTGCAGATCTCCCTAATGTAGTCGGCGTGCGGTAGAGAGAGCTTCCATAACCACACAGACAGGGGGTACAATACCTGCAGGCCCCAGGAAGGTTGACCGCAGAAATTGCCACATTTGGTGCGAGCTGAACCTCTCCAGGAGAAAGAAGAGTAACTTCACCATCGAGCTCCACGGTCAGAGCGCCGTCTGCCAAACACGTCGAGCCTCCTACGGGGCAGGCGCTATCAAGACTGTGCGGGTCCGTCACCGTGATGACTATGGTGTGGTCCAATCCGTAAGAGTCATGTGTCTTGATGCCGATTCCGGTGATGTACGTGATCTCAGGCAAGGATGGAACAGGGGTGGTTACGCGCATGTTGACTTCGAGACTCGGCATGTCCGAAACTACGGAGTACCACTGACCGTCCTGGCCAACGAAGTCGAACTTCTGGCCTAGGAAGCCAGTCATGTGTGGATCACCTGGGTAGGAGGTACAAATAGTAGCAAAATAATCGTGGTTGATAGCACGTTTGACACACTTGGGATTTTCACCTGCGACACAAACACATTTGTTTGACTAATTATATTTTTTTTCCTCGTCTCGTGTTTAAATCGCGCAATAATACCAAACGCCGGGACACCGGCAGAAACATTTGTAAGCGAGCATGGCGGTATTCCGATGCGGCCAACCAGGCGATGCATCGGTGTCAAATCGTTCCTTCTCAACCACGGAGAGAGCAATCGCCATGGCTGCTTTGGCATGCTACCGTGGAGGGTATGATTTTCAAAATCGGATGTTCTCACCGCAAGCGCTGCCATCGGTTGATTCAAACGAGCAGAGGCCAGTCTCCGGACAACAGCTTGGGCGGTCAGCATCTGCGGTGCAGTCACTGTCGGCGGTACACTCTGTACGCATAAACACCGCACGAGGCACCCAAGAAACAGAGAGCCACACAGATAATCGAAATGAGTGATTCTCCTCGGGTTAGGTGTCATGTGGTTTGTCCATCTCGACCGGCGAATCTGCCCGACCTGCCGAATGCCTCACTAAATACTTGACCTACCATTGGGAGTTTGGGTTACCATCGGAGTGATCATGGTTTCGTCAAAAGGTTTTTGGTTTCGGAAGCGCAAGTTCGGACGACGGACGAATTACTCACCGTAAGACTAGTTCCCGGACAGCATATGCGCATGCTTCCGTCGTGCTTCTTGGCGAGATGTTGGTGGGGCACGCCCGTGACAACGAGAAACATTTGGAATTGCAAACTTCCTCCATTATCCTTTAAAAAGTGTATTTTCCCTGCCGGTGCTGCAGCATACAGTCTCACACGCTTTCACAAACAGCTAGTACCTACGCTACAAATTGAATGAGGGACGACATCCCACCTACTGATGCAAGCATTCAACATTCTGAACGATCCACTACTACTGTGCCGCACTATTGATAACTCGGCTCGAGCAAACGAGCGTGTATATAATGATGAATACCGTACACCGCTCCCGCGTTACATTCACTGCGGTTCAAATCCACGACGCACGTGTGTAGTGATCTGTGTTGGTTGTTTAAGATACATTCTCACGTGAGCAGTGGCCATCGGCGCCATCGTGTTCGCAGTACCACTCTATCTCGGCGGGTGCCCCATTGATTACTTCGAACAGGTTGGTCACCGCAACCTCAGGGCTGAGATTGCAGACGCACACCACGCCATCGTCGCATTGAAGAGGACCATCACCATCGGAGCCGCATTCCAACACGTCGATGGCCGTATCGAGCGGGGCGTCAGATGTTGGTCCGCCACAAGAACAAGGCGCGCCGGAGGCGGATGGCGCGCTCAATATAACCACGATCACTGTGCACAGCGGCAAGACCCAGACTCGGCCCCACATGATGCCGTCGTCGATTTTTTTTCTCTGCGTTTAGCAAGATCGGTGCGCGCAAGAAACAATTTTGGTCGTAAAACAATCTTGCTGTGAACGGTTGGATGTGTTGAGTCCCAAGGTACATAGGAGCGGTCGTGTGTGGATCGTGGAAGGTTAACTCGACGTTATGTGTCGTAGATGCCCGGACGGTGCGCACGTCTATAGCGTGATAACATTTAGACGATGGCATGTAAACATAGGGGTAAAGTGCAAGTGTATTGCTGCAGAATCCAGTGGCCACGAGCAGACACACGCTAATCCTAGATGGCGACACGCAGACGACACTCTGGCACGCACACAAACTCGCCTCGCAAAAGGCAGTCGACACACCTACACCCAGGACAGTCCTATATGGCGACACGCAGCCTATAGTCTCGACCACCAATAAGCGACAACGACCGCACCCAATGATACGGCGTACGACCAAGGAAGGGACGAACTCCCACGCGTCCGACGCAACAAAGGTCATTCACACAGCAGGCGTGTACCTACGGTAGCACGCAGGCACATGCAAATCGTTCATGGTGCCGATTACGCGAAGGCGACACGCTTAGGTCCAAAGGAACGATAAACTCCCACGCGTCCTAAGCAACAAAGGACATCAGGCAGGCGTGTAACAACGCACGCAAGTGCGCAATTTGCAACTCCGACAAAACGATGGCTAGCGCGTAGCCACGCGCAGAGTAAGCTGCAATCGTGAGAAAGCATTGCTGCCGACTTTAATCTTGAAGCGAATGCGTGGGATGAGAACGAACGTTGAGAGACCGTATGGTAGTTCTACGTGCACAATTCGTGTTTGAGTATCCACGAACGATAGCCTTCTGACCATTGACCAAGCCCTGCTAGAAGTTTATAGGTTTCGTGTGATCATGACAAAGCAGTTCAGTTTCAAATCCAATGCATGAGGCGGTACACCAGAGACGTCAGTAGCGTGGAGGTCAGCTGCGGCAACGAAACCCAAACCGTCGTCAGTCGCGTCAGGATCGACGGTGTCACAACTGTATGCTGTGAGAAGGTCTCCTGGAAGGATGTCAAGGACGTGTGCGTTGATGGTGTCTATGGTAGCGTTGGTTGACGAAAGGATAGATAGCTCTAGCCTTGAACTCAGTCGGGTCGGCGTCGAGAATGTCCGGATACACGAAATTGATCAATTCTTCAAAAGAGTCTGTGTTGTCAAGGACGAATCGGTCAGAGGCTATGTTTGGCATGCTATGAACGTATGCCAATGGCACGGTATCCACGCCGTCGTCTGTTGTAACATGCGGTTGGGTACCAACACCGATATTTCGGACGAACGCCGCGTACGCTGCGTCCTCTCGATCGCGCTGCGATATGGTAAGACGCATACGTTGCAATGATGGACGCATCAATTGTTTCCGCGGGCCGCCATGTTTGACGACAGGCCCTATCTATCTGGCGAAATCAAAGCTTAGCAAGATATTATTTCCTCCCATGATCATGTTATTGCCCATAAGATCTTGGAGTGTAAGATTAAGAGCTTCGACAGAAAAACCATGGCTCATTGGGATTTCGTCCCAAACAGTAAGGTCACACTTACGTAATACTTCTGCCCGTTGCTACTCAGCGGAGATATTGCACGTCGCACCGCTGACATTCTTTTCATCCAGTGGTAGTTTGAACATGGAGTGCGCAGTCCACCCACCAGGTAGTTGGAGACCTGCGGTGCCCGTACTGGCAACACAAAGGGCTAAGTTACTGAGTGATCGTAGGTGGGCGCATAGTACGCTCTCCGTGTGTGTCTTACCCGTCCCAGCAGGCGCGTCTATCATGAATGAATACGTTAGACGATCCTGATGACACGCTGTTAACCACGCTATCGTAAACATGACGTTGCTCGACGGTGAAGTTTGGGAGATGCTCGGCAACAAACATGCGCATTTGCTCCGGATTGAACATGTGCTTGAAACGCAAGTATTCTGTGCCTCGATGGATTACGGCAGGCAGTCCAGCGATAACGTTCGTTCGTCCATGGTACTGTAACCCGAGATCGATTTCGCGAAGGGCGGCGTTATCGGCATCCAGATCGGTCATGGACATGCGCCAATCTGATGTAAAGTCTTTATTGAAATGCTCCCAGAGAAGGTTGGCAGGGGCTCCGTCAAGAATGAGCGTAAAAAACAGCTGGCGCAACTGTCTACCCAGCAAGCGCCACGCAGCTCCAGCAGCTGAAATGTATCGCGCTGAACGGCAGGCCTCTATTTCATCGCCGTCGCACAGGATCTTAGCCTTGATAAAGTCCGCGCCCTTGTTAATGTATTTGTAAATGTATTGAACTACTGCCGCTGCTGTACAGACGTCAAAACACATGTGGCAGTTTGTTTTGGAAAGCAACCAAATGTTGTACGGAGCGATCCACTGGTTTGTGGCGAAAGACTCTAGGAAATTGCCATTACCTTTGAGCGCGAAAACCCTAAGAAGATCCGGACACCACCTAACGAACCTCATGCACCGCTCGTTGACCGAACCCCGATGGAAAAGGAAAAAAGATATCATGCAGTCGCACACGTGCAAATAGGTATGTGCGACACACGAGTAAATAGGTATTATAGGTATTATTGGGTGTGACAGAGAGAGATAGAGAGAGACAGAAAAATAAAGAAATACAAAACAAAGGAGAGAGAGAGTGAGAAGGCAGGGAAAGACACACAGACACACAAAGAGACACAGAGACAGGCAAAGAAAGAAAACGAAAAAAAAGGAAAAAAAGTTGTACCGCCCATTCCGATTCTGCTCCCGACTCTGCTTCCGACTCTGATTCCGAGAGAGGAGAGAGCGAAAAAGCGCCGAACAGAGAGAGAGAGAGAGAGAGTGAGAGACTGAGAGTGTCCCTCACGACGGGAAGGACGGCGAGACAGCGAGGCCGGAAGAGAAAAAAGAAGGCAGAGACCAATGGAATGGTATTGGAGAAGACCGTAAAACTCATCGGGCCGAAGGAACTGCCTTGCGAAAACTGCAAAATGCGAAATGCTGGCCTGTGAGCGCTCGAACGGTCGGGACTTCACTCTGAAAGCAAGTGATTAAGCGCGGTAGCCTGAGAGCGCTCGAGAGAACGATCCCTGGCCCACAGAAAATGCTGCGATTCTAGGAAAAAGATAAACGAAATATAAGATTCCGGAAAAAGATATTGACTGACGTGTTTGTTTGCGCAGCACAAATTTGGCTCGTAACGACCAGTTCGGGGTATCCAAAGTTCCTCCGACGCGACTTCTGCCTAAATGTGTCTTGAGATTTCGCCATTTAGAGAAATTTGCAAGCGAAATTTGCCGTCCGAACGACCACGCGCGCTGGTTGGTCCACGTCAGTTTGGGCCGCTTGCTGCGCCGTTGTGGCACGAGACGGCACGAGACGGCAGCGGGCTACGAGACGCGCACCCAGTGCCCGCCCCATGCCCCCTTACACAAGCCATGGATGGAACGAGGAGGCCGATCCGGGGTGTCAACCTGAAACGCCGCTACGGCGCCATGAGCACCAGGGAACTGATGCATGAGCAGCTTTGCCTCTTGTGCGCAGCTGTCCTGCTGTTGGTTGGCAGCGAGGAATATGCGCACGAAACGGAAGAGCTCGAGTTGTGCGCTGCGCTCATAGCGCTGCAGGAGACAGTACGGACGGGTAGATCGCACGGTCATTAGGACAGTGAGGGGGAGGGATTTGTGCATCGCCGACATCTCGGAGGACAGGGCGTGGTGTGACTATCGCTTCAATTTTCAAATGTAAGTAGGTGCTTCATATTTCAAATGTAAGTAGGTGCACATGTGCACATCATCTTTCCTGACCCCTTCGAACTCCACGGCTGCATGTATGTATGTGCGCGGCGAGATTACACGGCCAAATACGGATCATCTTTCGTCTTCCGGTTTTTTTTTGCGCACGGTGGAAAGACTTTATTTTTAACAGAAATTACATGGCATCAGTATAGCAAAATTCGTTGTATGCGCAAACGTCATTCATATGAGAAAAGATAAGGATATGTTATTCAAATGAGAAAAGAGCCGCACACACGTACTACGTGCAAAATATGTGTGACACACACACGTGTAGAAATTAAAGGATGTATTATTGTGTGTGTGACAGAAGAATAAAGAGAGACAGAAAAAGAGAGACAGGAAACAAATGAGAGAGGGAGAAGGCAGAGAAAGACACACAGACAGACACAGAGACGGAGAGAGAATCACAGATACAGACAGAGATAAAACGGGAAAAATAAATATTCCTGGTACCATAATAATAAAGTTGTACCGCCCATCCATTCGGACTCTGGTTCCGATTCTAATTCCGAGAGAGGAGAGAGAGAAAAGCGCCGAAGAGAGAGAGAGAGAGAGCGTCTCTCACGACTCGACGGACGGCGAGACAGCGAGAGAGACCGGTAAAGAATAAAGAAGGCAGAGACGAACGGAATGGCATTGGAGAGGACGATAGAGCACATCGGACCGAAGGAACTGCGCTCCGAGCGTCAAAATTGCGAAAACTGCAAAATGCGAAATCCTGGCCTGTCAGCGCTCGAACGGTCCGGACTGCACTCTGAAACCAAGTGAATAAGCGTGGTGGCCTGAGAGCGCTCGAAAGAGCGTTTCCCGGCCCGGAGAAAATGCTGCGATTCTAGGAAAAAGATAAATGAAATAATTGTTATACTAAAATGAAGGATTAGCCCCCCGCCCCCGAATAGGGCGCCCCCGAATAGGGCGCCCCCGAATAGGGCGAGCGGCCCTACCTAGCCAAACGGATGGTGGTGAGGGTTTGGAAAGGTGAAGCATATGGAAAAGAAGACGACCGTACTCTATTTCTCAATAGACCTAAACGAAGCTTTGTCGCAGACAGACCCTCTTACTCCGATTTCCCCACCTCTTGACTTTGCCTTGATCGGGCGTCCCAAATCACGGCCGGTAGCCAAGCTTAATCAACTTCTTCAAGGAGTACGTAGCGTACGTAACAAGTGAGCGCTGTTTTCA